CGTGTGCGACCGTGCAAGTGTGCGTAGTGCGTGGACAGTGTTGTCATGTGTGGTGCGTGTGCGTGGTGCTGGGTGTTCGTGCGCTTATGTGTATCTTGACTTTGTTTTTGTGGTCACGAGATTTGGAGTAATTTTAGTTTCAACTAATAGCAAAGCAAGATAAATAAGTATAGCATAAAATATTTTATATTTGCAGTGCATACGTATCTTACATACATAAATGTCATAATTATAGCTACAGAAAGGCTATCTATACCCTTACAAAAATTTAAGCAATCACAAGCAATCACAAGCGATCAACGACGCTGCTTCAAATAAGCATCAATGGTGCAGAGGATCGCTTATCTGATTGCTTATTAAGCAATCAGGACTGATCATATGATTGCTGAATAAGCAATCAGGACCAATCATCGGATTTGTTGGGGGACGATCGTTCGATTGGCATAATAAGCAATCCGGGACGATCTGTCGATTGCTTAAATGGAGCCATCGGGCGGGTATCGATCATCGATTGCTTACCGCGATCAAGTCGCCGATTGACCGTATTAAGCAATCAACGATCATCTTAAGCTATCCTCTGCCACCATTGAGCGCTTATTTTAAGCAAATCCTTGATCGCTTGATCAGTCTAGCAGATCGACGATTGCCTTATTTCATCATGGACGAAATCAGGTGCTCTCAGGACCCATCGCTGATCATTTAAGCATCAATGATCGCTTTAAGCAAATCGCCTGATTACTTGGAAAATGGCTTGACTTTCTCCCTAAAACTAACTAGAAAGCAGACTCGGCTGTATATATCGTGGTATAAAACAGCATAAAACATCTATGGTGTATAACCTTTTGCTATTCAAGATGTTGCGTCTGATACTAAACAATCAATCCCAAAAACTAGGTAGGCGAGCTAATTAATTAATTAATAATTAAATAATTAAACTTTATTAATTATTAGGCCTAAGAGATTAGATTAAATCGCTTGAATATTTCCAACGGCATTCATTTTGTGGAAAGCAACGCATGGACTACCGGGTACCCTAGTCTCGCAGACATTACAGGTACGCGCTACCTACCCGTAGGCGTGATTTTTTTTCCTAGGTCAATCAAGAACATGGCGGCTGATTAGTGAGCCGCTGCCTAAATTAGTTGAAGCTTGTTTCGTTGATTGCCCTATATATATTAATTATAAACATTTGCTGTTATTGAGAAGCTTAGATGCCTTTATACTAGAAATAGTGATACTGATATATACAGCAGATTGCTACAGCGGCCGGCTAGCTAGGTTACTATACGCTATAGCTTCCCCCACCCGCACCTACATCCCCAGTTTTCTTTCTCGCCTCCTCTAGCTATATCGCCATGCCACCCACCTTCTCCACTTCCCCCTCCTGCCTCCACATCCCCCTTTTCGACCTTCCTTATATCTCTCATTCCTTCCTCCTCCCTCTCCCCTCCCCCCTCCTCCTCCTCCTCCTTCACCTAGCTCGATCTCCATTAATTTACTCCAAATTCCGCCTCCCCCTTTTATGTACACGCGGGCTGCAAGTATATATAGCCGCTACGTTCCCACAAATCTAGTAAACGCCTTTTTGATAAAAAAAAAACTATTATAGTATAGTATTCTAGAGTTATAACTTTTATTTCACGCAGATTTGTTAGCTGCCCGCCAGTTTATGCATGAGCCTAACGTTTATTGATGGAATTGGCACGTTTATTTTTACAACCTCCAAACAGTACCTAAAACTTTCAGTACTGGTTTCTAATTAGGTCCAATATATATGTGCAGCAAACGTTGTTTCTAATCATATAAAAACGGTTAAATTATATAGGTTAGTGTTAACGTTCATGACTAACGTTTTGTAATGGTTACGACAAAGTTGTATAAATAACGATTATTTGCACCAACCTCCTGTCGAACCTTAGATAAACGTTCAGCTACTATAGTTTGTAATGAATAGGTGTGCCAGCGAACGTTTGTTTCTAACCTATATATAACTTTATTTATAACGTTTGATGAACGCGCGCGTTCTTAGAAGGTTTAATTCCAACCAAACCAAATAAAACCAGATCATAACGTTAGGGAACAACGTTATGCTGTTAGTGGGTATTACCCAACATGCAAGTGGATTCGGTTAACACCTGATTGGCTATGGGTATTGTGCTTACAAACGGACTGTATCCAGAGACTCTATTAAATATAAATGACCGCATTGATTCTGGGCTGCCTCAATCAGCCTGGCCAATCTTAAACATGACCATGCAGTATTTCAGCGCTGACAATCTGTCTTGGATCCAGCTCTCAATTACTGTTTGATCAGTGGGAATTGTGATCAGTCTCGATTGGCTTGCTCGATTGCTTAGCCGATCAGTCTGATTGCTTGGCGCATTGCTTAGGCATCAGTCTCGATTGCTTTGTCGATTGCTTAGGATCAGTCTCGAATTGCTTGTCGAATTGCTTAGGATCGTCTCGATTGCTTGTCGATGCTTAGGCATCAGTCTCGATGCTTCTCGATTGCTTGAGGATCAGTTTGATTGCTGGCTGTCGATTGCTTATTAAGGCAATCGACAGCAATCGATGTGTTCGATCGCTTGTGGATTGCTTAAATTTGGGTTGTAAAGGTATATCGTAAGGCCATATTAGAAGAAATTATGAAACAACTTATTAAAACTTCCAACCAAGTGACGGATAATTTTGTATCGTTTATGCAGTAAATCTAATGGCGCCCGCAGTGACTGCAGTATGAAAGCAGGTTTGAGCCCAATATTCGAAAAACCTGGTTTTACGTCGGATAAAACCTAGCTTTTTATGACTTAAAGAACCTAGTTTCATCGACGTAAAACGGGTTTTAGAACGTAAAACCTAGTTCTATCGGCTGATATTGTATAGTTTAATTTGAATAAACTGGTTTAGGACCGTAAAACCTAGTTTTACGACCGAAAAACCCAGTTTTATCGAAGTAAAACCTTGGTTTTAGGACGTAAACCTAGTTTTACGCCGGAATAAAACTAGTTTTACGACCGTAAAACCCAGTTGATTGGACGTAAAAACCTAGTTTTACGACCGTAAAACCTAGTTTATCCGAAAACCTTTACGCGATTAAACTAGGGTTTTACGCGTCGTAAACTAGCGTTTACGAATTCGATATTGCCAGTTTCATGATTGCTGTTGGGACTCGGTCCGTCTAATGACCGAAAAGGCACAGAAAGGCACCGCAAAGGACACCTTGAAGGCACCTAAAAACACCGAAAGGCACTAATCGAGAACATCAAGATTTCCACCGGAAGAAGCAGTTCCGGGAGCTGAAATGCCCTAAAAATGTACCTGAAACTCGGCCGCAAATGACGAGTACACAAAAAATAATTTGCAAGCTAATGTTTCACATGCGACAGCGCCGATCTCTTGGATTTTTTTATAAGCAAATAATGCGGAATTCAATAAAATAATGGCGGGTTAGATGTATTTACATGATTTACGTATAGAAACTTATTGTTATTTGCTACCTGACTTTCTCCGCTATCCTTCCTTGGAGTTTTATTCCTCTTTCAATGCTTTCAGTAGATTTTCTGCGTTTTCTGGCGTGCTGATTTATTTTGTGGCAGCGACTAATTTTG